TCAGCCAGACCAAGTCCGGCTGATTCAACTGGGCTACATTGGCGGTTCACCCAGCTCTGCCAGAAATTGCATTCTCTTTACGGCTGTTACGGCTACATGATGCTCTCTGGAGGTTTTGTTGTCTCCGTACACATCCTTTTGCTCAAGCACTAGAGTATTTTCACCCGGGCAGCTCTTCGATTTGTAGATGATGTGACTAAGAAAGGTATGTAGAGAGTAGACTTGATGTTTGAATCTCTAGTAAAAACTGATAGTCAAAATTGTCAGCCCCAGAGATGGGGCAGACTTTTTTCCCTGTGCGGTAGACGCATATAGACGATTACTCCCAGATGAAAGAAGATCTTGAGTGCCGGGCAATGCAACTGTCGAAGAAGGAAAAGCTAGGAGGCAATTGCCCACGCTGTTTTGGCGAGAATGTATATCCTAAAAGAGAAGGGGAACCTCACTATGTAGTATGCATCGACGGTAATTTCCAACAAAGACGACATAAATCGGCAAGTGTTGAGCACAGCGAAATTGAAATCCGCTACCCAAAATTATTTCTCCATCCCAACCAGGTCAAACAGTGGGAAAATACACATCCTGGCGCTTCAGATGATGCACCGGTAAGTCAACCTTCTGTAGATATATATTCATTGAAGGTGATAGCCACTAAAATCACATATCATTTAGGATCCTTGCACGCAGATGCACACTGCTGCTAATGATTCGAGGAGTGCATCAACATGGCGTGCCTGTGATGACACAGGCCTTTTGGTCATGGTTTGTCGTCACGACCATGCATTAGCCTTTGTAAACATTGTACAAAGTGGTGAGAAGTATGCTCGCACATCTCTCTTTTTCATGATTATATCAAGAAAGTCTAATTTTTATGTCTCTCTAGATCATATTTTGCGCATTCCCTGATTGGTTGGTTCCTCCAGCAGTTGGATGAGGAGGACTCTAAGGTTGCCTTACTCTACGATATTGGATGTAACATCGAGAAAGGCCTTATTAGAGTTAAGTATATTGATTGCCATTAAATATCAATTCGGCCTTTTTTTACTGATGGTAAATTTTGAACACATTGTAGCACAACCTTTTCGAAGTGGAAAGAAGTAAAGCACGCTTCAAATTTGGTACAAGCGTGTTCCACGCATATGTACACAGCTGGAGTTGCCAGCTGGATTACAACCCCAGATTAAATATTGGATGGGGGTTGTCCGATGGAGAGGGTTGTGAACGGTGTTGGTGTAAGCTCTGTAAATTGGTTGCAGGTCTACGTTATTCTACAAAGCAGCATCGAATAGATGCACTGGATCACAAAGCTGCACACGAAAACCAAGTCTTGCGTATAAACTCTGGTGGGAAATCAGTCCTTGTCTATCCTATCTTGATTCACAATTCCAACATCCGCTGTTTTGCTTCCAGCTGCTTCCGCCTATAACAAATTAGGAATAGCGGAGAAAACCCGAGGGGAAAAGCTACAGATTCTTGTTGAGCTCGAGACAAAACGTGGATATTCCCACAACTATTTTGCTGATCAATGGGCTTGTCAAAAAAGAATACAGGCAGAAGTCATGAATGATACCAACACAAATCAGCTGAAGCTACAACTTGAGGACTTGATTGAGCATGAAGAGGATCTGAGAGAGATCAAGTACGTACCTTTTTGCTATCTCGTTATTATGAGTGGCTGCTAATTGGTATAAGCTTCAGGGAGAAAATGGACAAACTACGCCGCAAGCAACGCAGAACAG